ACTGGCAAGTATGAATGTTCACCTTCCTGATTACACTGCCAAGCAACATTCATTCATCAGTCAGAATGGGTAGCACTACAGGGCTAAGCTAGTGCATCCCACGACAAAAATCCTACAGTCTAACAGAGCAGTATATACAGTGGTGCCTCAGTAGACAATGTTAATCCGTTCCATTGAAATTGCTGTCTTCTGAAAACATCGTCTAGCAAAAAGCGTTTCCCCATTGGAATGCATTGAAACCCATTTAATGCGTTCCAATGGGGGGAAATCGTCGTCGTCCAGCGAAAATTACCCATAGGAAAGCCGTTTTCTGAAGCACCGATCAGCTGTTAAAATCACTGTCTTGCAAAGCATTGGTTCCGAAAGCACCTGTTTTGCGAGCGCTGATCAGCTGTAACAATGTCGTCTTGCGAAAATTGGTCCTGAAAAAATACCCGTCTTGTGAAGCACGGACTGAATCATCGTATAGTGAAAATCGCCCATAGGAAAACCCGTTTTGCGAATCACTATAGCGATCGCAAAAAGTCATGGTCTAGCAAAAAAAAAAAAAAAAAGTTCTGCGGGGTACCACTGTAGTGTCTTATATTTCCATGACGCTTCTCTCTACACACCAGCACTTAGAAATGACTCTTTGGCCTGCCTGTCAAGTCACTGCATTTAATTGTGTGCCTTTTTATTCCAGCATGCTGAAGTACATGGATTTGTTGATTTTTATTCATTTCAGACCAGTTAAAGAGGGACTGGTGTTGTCTAGTCACAAAGGGTGCCTTGGCATACAATGAAATCTGTGTGAATCCTGAAGGTGAGAACAAAAAAAAAAAAAGAAGGAAGCAGTATGAGGAGTGAAGCATCCATGATTCCTGCTTAACTGGTTTGAGATAACATTTAGTTGCAGGTGGAAAACCAGGAGAGAGAGAGAGAGAGGGAGGGAGGGAGGGAGGGAGAGAGAGAGATGAAAATTCTTGTTTTAATTAATACTCTGCTTACAACATAGTGATCTGGACATGAAAAACAAAACCAACACCCATATTCAGAGAGCTTCCCATTTATACCATTGCATTGTGTGCTGCCTTTGACATGGGAGATGACTGTTTTCTTTTGTAATGAAGTAGGTTTTGCTAACAAATGGGTTGCCTTCTCGAGACTGACAGCCCCAGACATTTTGGTGCATGAGATGCAGCAGTAATGGGTGCTTCTTTCCCCAAATTCATGGTCCATAGTACCAAAGGGTGTCCAGGTTGTTTTGACCACTGAGGCAAAAAACAACAGCAGCAGCAGCAGCATTCCAATTTTTTTTAAAAAAATAATAACACTTACGAATTGTTAGCTAACAATTTGCTATCTTTTCAGGATGCCAAAGATCTAGAGCTTGAGGCAGCCACTTCGCTCTAGCTAATGGTAGGGCCAGCTCTACGTAATTGCGTTTTTTTCTTTTCCCTGTCCTGAAGCCAGCATACCCAACACACATCACTGTCTACCAGTCTATCTGTACATTTTCCATTTCCTACCTAAAAATTGGCTGGGTGAAAGGAAAGAGAAATACTTTGTACACATAATAGAAAATGCCCATTTTTCTCATGATGGCTTTCCCCGTATGATTTTAGATTAGGTGTGCATAACATAGTTGACCCTCTGTCTACAGCAGGCAGAGAAAACATATGGCCTGTGAGCTACACGTTGCTTCTAAAAGACCCAAATTTGCGGGATAAAAGTCCTTTTCTGCCATCTAGTAACTACAGAGGCCAATTTTAATTTAATTTCACTTCCAGTATTCTTGGGGTGTTCAGTTCCCCAACGTTGTTACTTTTTTAAAAGTGGCTACTAACTATTGCAAAGGAGCATTTCAGTTTAAACATGTTTATAAGGGAATAAAATTAGAGAGGTTGTGGGCACAGGGGTGACCCTTTAGCATCTGGGAAGGTCTGTAGTTGCCCCCCAGATCTTTGAAGGCTGCCCTTACTTGTCAAGAGATGGGAGGAAAACAATTCACCCTACATGACTTCAGGAGAAACCTGATCCCACAAGGGGATGGAAGGAGTCCGGAAAACCTGACCTTGGGATATTGCTTTTACACAGATCTTGATGATACAGCACCTGGTCAGTTCCCTGCTTCTCCTTTCCTTCAATGTCTGCAGCGCTCAGCCTGAAGAAGGTTCCTGCTAGACGTGAAAGCTTCCCTGTTTTAACATGTTAGAACTCCAATAAAGGTATTGTTTTTGGACTTTGTACAAGGACAATGAGTCTTTTTTTCAGTTGGTGTGACCCACCAAAATTGGGATGGGTGGGTGGATGGATGGATGGATGGATTTACTGATTTACCACCCATCTAGCAGCAAGCCACTCCTCTAGGCAGTTTACAAAAGTCAAACACAAACCCACAACATAAACCCCAAATTATACATACAGTGACAATAACCTGAAGGATCGCCTCCTTCCACATGAACCTACCTGGCAGTTAAGATCTAGCCAGGGGGCCCTTTTGAAAGAGCCATCCCTCAAGGAGGTAAGAGGGATGGCTTGTAGACAAAGGGCCTTTTCGGCAGCTGCCACCAGACTATGGAATGCCCTCCCGACCGAGATTCGTCTCTCTGGCGCCGATGCTGATGACATTTCGGCGCCAGGTCAAAACCTTCCTGTTCCAGAAGGCTTTTAATTGAAATAATATCAACTGTGGGTCCTGATGGCACTTTTTAGAGTACGTATTTTAATTATATTTTAATTGTCTTATCTTTTTATTGTATTTTAATTGTTGTAAGCCACCCAGAGACCTTTGGGTAGTGTGGGCGGCATATAAGTTAAATAATAAATAAATAAAATAACAAAATGAGACATAAGCATAATATAGCAAAACACACACACTGGGTGGCAACAGCTAAATAAATAAATACAAAAACCCAAGACGGGTCAGGAACTCTCTCATTCTCTCATACGGGAAGGATATTCCGGAATTCCTCTTTGAATAACATCATTTTGACCTGATGCCTGAGGGACAGAAGGGGAGGGGGAGCTTGGCATACATCAACAGGGAGTGAGTTCCACAATGCTGTGGCCATCGCCGAGAAGGCCCAGTTCCTGATGCTCATTTTCTAGGCCTCCCTCGGGGTCTACGTAGAAAATATTAGAGAGAGATGTTCTAACAAGTCCCAAAGTCCCAAACCACTTAAGACCTTATAAGTTAAAATTAGCACTTTGAATCTGGCACAGAAACATACAGTGAGCCAATGCTGGCTGGTTATATCTTCTTGCAGCTTTTAAATAACCTGAGAATTTCTGTAGGCTGTAGGCTGGCAGCCTGAGAGACAGAGTATAAATGAGTTTTATCCTGTCTCCATCAAGCTCTGTGGTGCATGGGATAACTCACTTTGGGTTTATTGGATTATACAACATGCCACAAGTATAGCCTATATATTGCTGTTTGCTATAACAGGCTGGATGCTAAGTGGACCATATGGGTGACTTAAGATGACTGAGCAAATATTCAGGATAAAACCATGTAATTTGGGAGTGCTGATATTCTGTGCAAAGACAGGAATGGTCCAGATAACTCTTTTATGCAATGTACTCTATCTATCTGTCTGTCTGTCTGTCTGTCTATCTGTCCGTCCGTCCGTCCGTCCGTCCGTAAGGAATAGGAGCATGACTGATAAATGAGCATAATATGTCTGCACAAATCATAAATGCTGGGAGGCTTCAGCAGCCAATCCAAATTTTAATACACATATTAATGAAGGTCCTGTCTCATTAGACCATGCATTTGGGCTAGCATTTGAGTTCATGCTCCCATGAAAATACCTGGAGGCATCCATCGTAGGAGGTGACATTTCCACATGTGGACTATATGCATGGAGCATTGAGCGCATCTCCCACGTGGAGGCGCTGCTTCGTAAAGTCAGACTCTGCCTCAACCTGCCTGTGGGTAGGGCTGAGCAGTTTCCCAGAAGACATGCATGGAACAGCACTCCTCTCTGTGTATATGTTGTTATGTTTGGTAGGAAATTTTGCTCCTTGGTTGTAGTGACAGTTTCATCCTAGCAAGATGTGGCCCATAATCCTGGCGGTAGAATAGCGGGACATGTCTGGCTCGCTCGTGTGTGTCTGTGTTGTGGGGGTGTCAGGCAGGTACATTGAAACCGTACCTCCCTTGAAGCAAGGTGGGGCAGCTGCTTCAGGCAGCAGATTTTAACTGTCAAGAAATACTGTATCGGCTTGTTAGCTCCTTACTAAGGCTTATTGTGCTTTTATTGCTACGACTGAGGAGATGTGCGGGTGGTAGTGGGTATCTCACAAAATAACTGGCCTGGCTTTAGGTAACATGCATTGCGACTCACAAGGGGGGGGGAGAGAAGGGGGCATTTGCTGCTCCACAAATTACTTGAGCTAACCTTTCTCCTCAGGAAGTCTTTGCTTTAGTGATTACTGACTAGTTGTTTTTTTTAATGGATTGCTGTGCCTTGTTGCTTCGCATGTGTGTTGGTGTTGCTTTTGTTTACCGTTTTAGTGTGGCACTCGAGTCTTTCGTATTATTTGTATACTTCCTGTTTTTAGCTTTTAAACATCGTCTTCTACTTGATGCAAGCCACTTTGGGTCCTTTTTTTAAAGAAAAAAAATGCGAAATGCGGGGTAAAAGTATGTTAAGGAAAGAAATGATTAAATAAATAAACTTCATCACCGCTGACCCTGATGCTCTTTCTGCACAAGCTCAGGAAGGCTTCACCCACCACGGGCCAGACTGGGTGGCTGGCGCTGAGCCTTATCGGGGGATCAGGGCCCTGCATGACACCTCTCCGGTTTCCCCTACAAGTCCTGGGCGGGCGGCTGGGTTTCGATCTTCCAGTCCAGCAGCAGGAGCAGCAGCAGGAGTAGCCGGGCAGAAGCC